GATAATACATGATAATAATAATAACAATAACAACAACAATAATAATAAGTAATAGTAACAAAAATGTGGCAACAATAAAGAAGAAAATAAAATAATTTAAAATAAAATAAAAACGTTTTCCAGTAATTCATGCATTTTAAGGAATTGTTCTGATTTTTTCCAGCAATTCGGCCCAGCATAATATTTTGGATTTTGATGCTTTAATCTTGCCACAGGAGAGCTCTAGTTGCACAAGCTCTTGCGTATGACATAGTGATTCTATCAAGAATAGGGAGATAATGGAGGTTTCCATAGGTGGTCCACCGTACTGCAGTGAGCCCAGCGAAGGAGCCAGACATCTGACTCTGTAGTGTAAATCCTGGCGAGGTATCATTGAGGGTAATAAGTCTTGTGATACAGGAATTCCATCTCCTCAACAGATGGAGAGAGTGGAAAAAAACATTTCCCAAAAAACCTTGAACCTCTGGCAGCAAAACAATGTTGAATAGTCAATAGTACTACTTGCCAATATGTCATCTCAAAAAGTACAACATGAGGTACAACTACTGTTCTGGTTCCTCATTTAGGTAAAGCCTGCAGGAGAGAGATATGCCCTGGGAATTCATAGTTGTATCTATCTGGTGGTTTGGTTGCTGATAAGCGAGAGTAAGTTGTACGTATGACTTTCCAGTTAGAATTGGGAATAATCTCTTCTCTCTCTCCCACAGTGTATCTAAAGGCGATGGTTCTGTTAAGAGCGGCTTTCACGAGATATATACATCCCAGAAACGTATACCTTTGGAATTTATCTAGAGTATTAGCTAAAAGGCTGTGTAGTGGATGATATAAGGGTGTGCAATCAAAGTGTAAACTGTAAATAAAAAAAGAAGGAGGTGCCTGGAAGGTTAGATTTTATTGTTGTCGGCTCAGACAAATTGCTGTAGCCCTTGCAGACCTGCAACGTACTGAAAATCCTCTTCTCCATTTAGCCCATTGTGACAATGTATTGGTTATAGTTTATTTTTAAAAATGGATGATTTTTAAAATATTTTTTAACATACAGAGAGCGAGATGGTATTCAGTATATGACTGAGCCAAATTCTTTTTTTTTTTTTTTTTTTTTTGCAGTTTTCAGTGCGACTGCACAGACTAATTAAATCTTTCAGACGATAAGGTTCACCTAGATTTTCTTGTATGTTCAGCTGTACTCTGTAATGGCAGAGGGAAAACCAACATGAATACCACTCAAAATTTTGGAAGTATAATCCCTCCAGTGCCCTTTCATTCTTGTAAGGTTGCTGTCTTTGGTGCTATCATATGAAGTTTGCCTTGATACTACTATAGGTTCGCTTGTTCGTCTCCCGCTTATCCGGATCCGTCGCGGGGCAGCCAGCCCTCAGCAAGAGGTCCCAGAACAGCCCTCTCCCCAGCCACTTCCACCAAGCTCCTCCGGGAACAGACGTCCCGAGGCGTTCCACGAAGGCCAGCCTTGAGAGATCATAAAATCCCTCCAGCCAGTCTCCGTTGTCGGCCCTGAGCCTCCTATCTACCTCCGCGCCTGGGACCCATGCACGCGAAAATCCACCTCCCCAGCGCGCTCCATGGACACGGCATCGCTCACAGATGCCTCCTGACACCTCCCTGATGTGTCTCTACGGCAGTCCCATCCGGGAGGAGGCCTCAGGGCCGACCAAGGACACGCTGGAGGGATTATATCTCTCGGCTGGCCTTGGAACGCCTCGGGATTTCTCCCGAGGAGCTGGTGGAATGGCTGGGGAGAGGCTGTCTGGGACCTCTCTTGCTGAGGCTGCTGCCCCCGCGACCCGATCCGGATAAGCGGGAGACGACGAAACGAACCAAGTAGTAGTCAATCAATTCATAGCATATGATTAGCAAAGACAGCAACCTTACAAAGAAGAAAGTGCAACTGGAGGGGATTATACTTCCAAATTTGAGTGTGGTATTCATGTTGGTTTTTCCTCCTTGCCCATTACAGAGTAAGCTGAACATACAAGAAAAATCTAGTGCAACCTTATAGTCTGAAAGATTTAATTAGTCTGTGCAGTCCACTGAAAACTGCAAAAAAAAAAAAAAAGAAACAGAGAATTTGCGCTCAGTCATATACTGACATACCATCTCCTCTCTGTATCTAAAAAATATTTTTAAAAAATCATCCATTTTTAAAATAAACTATAAACCAATACATTTGTCACAATGGAGCTAAAATGGAGAAGAGGATTTTTCAGACATGCAGGTCTGCAAGGGCCTACAGCAATTCAGAGACCAAACAAACTAAATCTAACCTTCCAGGCACCTCCTTCTTTTTTTATTTACAAGTTACACTTTTTGATCACACCCTTATATTCGCAATCCACTACACAAGCCTTTATTAGCTAATACTCTAGATAAATCAAAGGTATAGTTTTCTGGATGTATAATTATCTCCGGCTGAAAGCCTCGTCTTTACAAACCATCCCTTTAGATACACCTGTGGAGAAAGGATGGCACTTTTATCCCAATTCCCTAAACTGGAAAAGTCATTACGTACCAACTTACCCTTGTTATCAAAAACCCAAACCACCAGATAATACACTATGAATTCCACAGGGCATATTCCTCTCCCTGCAGGCTTTACCAAATGAAAACCAGAACAGTGTTGTACCCAATGTGTTACTTTTTGTACAGATGACACTATTGGCCACAGAGTGGACTATTGGCACTATTCACATGATTTTGGACTGCCCAGAGTCAAGGTTTTTGGGAAAATGTTTTTTCCACTCCTCTCCACTCTGTTGAGGAGATGGATTCCTGTATCACAAGACTTATTACTCCTCAATGATACCTCAGCCCAGGATTTAAACATACAGAGTAGATGTCTGCTCCTTGCTGGGCTCACTGCAGGTACGGTGGACCACCTATGGAAACCTCCATATTCCCTATTGCTTATAGAATCACTATTGTCATACAGAGAGATTGTGCAACTAGAGCTCTCCTGTGCAAGATTAAAAGCATCAAAAATCCAAAATATTTACTTGCTGGCAGAATTGCTGGAAAAAATCAGACAATTCCTTAAAACTGCATGAATTACATGGAAACTTTTATTTTATTTTCATTATTTATTTTCTTTTATGTTGCCACATTTTTCGTTTACTATTATTATTATTATTGTTGTTGTTATTGTTATTATTATTATCATTATTATCATCATCATCATCATCATCATCATTATTATTATTATTATTATTATTATCAAATATGGATAAGTGCATGTCAACATTCCCTTCCCTTCAAACATTAGGTGTAAAAAATACAACTGAGGGGGACTGACTAAGCCTCCTTTAAACCATAACCTCTTACTTTGGACAAAAAACTCGCTAACACCTGGCTTCTGTTGGCAGTGCATCCTGCATGCACTCGCCTTAACATTGCTGTCGGTCTGTCATCTGCAGTCTCACTCAATCCATTCAATACTCCACGTGGTCTGGCAGCAACAGAAATGTAGACCGCTCCTCCTTCTCCTTCCTCTGGTAATCCTTAAATTGACACTATTCATTAGCATGTGCAAATACCATTTCATGCTCTCTCTCTGCTGCTTCTTCGCCCATCTCCCCTCCTTGTCTTCTTTCCCTTGTCCTGTGCACGAGCATGAACATCCTCTGTTGCTGACTGGCTGGAATTGTCAGTCTGAAGACACTTTGTTTATATCTCATTTACAGTGTAGGAACACCACATATTTTTTTCAGCACATACACAGAATGGAC